AAATAAAAACATCGTTATAATGTATATAGAGATGGGCAAATAGAAATTTCTAATAAATTTCTCTGAGAAAATTTATAGTAAATTTCTCTAGAAATTTTACTTTAATATTATATAATGGGATCATCATATCAATCATATTGTAATACTGTATAATATACTATGCACTACAATAATTTACTATATATGAGATTCCTATAAATAAAATTAATAAATTTATCTAATTAWAATTATATTTTTAAAAATTTAATCATAATTCATTAATAAACTTATTAATATTAACTTATTATTTGTAATTATTAGATTTTTACCAGATTACAAATATTGAAAAAATACAAAATTAAAATGAGTATCCCATAGACAAAAATTTTCTTTAGGAACATTCTAGAAATTTCAGTATTATTTTAGAAATTTTTATTTTTTTGCCATTTCCAACTTTATATGATTATTTATTAATTAAAAATTTAAAATATAAACTTTTAAAAATTGTTTGATATACAACCCATATCTAAATGTATTACTTTATATTTTAAAAATTGCTTTACTGAATTTATTATTATATAATTTTTTATATCAAAAATATGCAAAGATATATATACTTCATAATATTTTTCTTTTAAATATATAAATTATTATTTAATAATTTTAACTAATTTTATTTTTGCTAGATTAATAAATAGATTTATTATTGTATAAATAGTCAATAATTTATAATAATTTATAATAAATATTAAATTAATACACTACTATAGAAATTATTTATTTTTTGTCAAAACTATACAATATTAATAAAATTAATTAATTTTGAATTCTTAGATTTAAATATTACACTTATGATTTTCTCAGTTAATGCAGCAATGTTTATACTGTTGCTAATATATAATATTACTGTCTATATATAAAGATATATATATACAAAATGCATTCATTATAATATACAGGTATATATAATACTATCATTATATTGTTATATGTATGTTATTATAATAGTTACCAATGACATAATAATATTAAGGTAACCACGATCCTTTTATAGTAGCTTTATTTAAATAATTAGTTATTATATAAATTTTTATGTCATATATAAGTATACTGATTAATTAATATTTATGTTTATTAAAATTGCTATATCTATAATAACAGAATTATTAGATTATTAATTATATAATTATTACATCAAATTAAATATAAAATGATCTTTAATTATACTTAATTATAGCTAATATAAGACAATTATAAATATAATTATAAACATATGATAAAATTGCAAATTATATTAAGCTTTGGTTTGGCACATATATTGAGTCAATCTAAAAACGATATTTAAATATAGTATTTTTAGTAAACATAAATTTTATGTAAATATTAAATCAATAAATACAAATAATTTTTTGAAAAATTTAATTTATTGCGGTTTTTATAATAAATTGTTTGGCAAACTTATAAATATGCAAAACAACATAAAACAAGTTATAAAAGCATAGAAAATGTATGTTATGTTTGAAAACAACCGTACAATTTGTTATTTTTGTCCACCAGGAGGAAATTCTAAATATAATTATGAAATATATGAAAAATTTGTTAAAATTAGTCAAATTTAACATAATTTTATTTGAATTATTCTTTATTTTTAAATTTGTTTAAACTCTAACAGCAAAAGATAAAATATTCAGGTTTTTAGATAAATTTATATCAATTTTATGTCTTATTTAGTCTTTTTCCGGTAAATAGTCTATTTAACTATCAATTAGAAGATAAATTACTTTAACAACGGAAGTGTAACTCAAAATAAAAATAATAAAATATGGTTTTGTTGGCTAATGTAGTCTAATATAATTTGTATTATAATCGATTGCCTTATATATACTGTATATATTTATATTACTATATATATACATATAGTACTTACTGTACAATATATGATCATTACTTGAATATGACTGTAAAAGTCTGGTTAGACATCAAAATCAATTTGTTTTGTCTCTCTATTCTATTATCTTTCATTTATTTGATATTAAAAACATATATTAAAGTTTTGGACAAATTTTATTATGTATAATGTAAATTACTGTACATATCATATCAAAATAAAAGTAATCAACAATACATTCTATATTACAGTTAAGATATTTTTACTCATATATACAATACAATTACTTTTATTTTTCCAAAACTGTCTCTTATTTTTGCTTTTCATCACTAAATCCACTTTAACATCAATTTTACGTCATTTGGTTGCCCTTAGAAACACTAAATGTTATATAACCCAAATTGAGAGAGACATTAAAGAGAGAGAGAGAGAAAGAAAGAGAGAGAGAAAGAGAGAGAGAGAGAGAGAGAGAGAGAGAGAAAGAAGAGAGAGAGAGAGAAAGAAAGAGAGAGAAAGAGAGAAAGAGAGAAAGAGAGAAAGAGAGAAAGAGAGAAGAGAGAGAGAGAAAGAGAGAGAGAGAGAGAGAGAGAGAGAGAGAGAGAGAGAGAGAGAGAGAGAGAGAGAGAGAGAGAGAGAAAGAGAGAGAGAGATGCGTCAATGATTTGACACAGAGATGTTGTGTGAGCTGTGAGTTGTAAGACATTTATGACTAAACACACACAACAGTACTGTTAAAGTTAGTCATCGATATAATAATAAAGTATATATAAACTTAAGTTTTGATGAGAAATATTTAATTCACTTACTATTGTAGTGAATAAATAAAATAAAATGGACATAAAGTCTATAATGTAATGAACTTTCGTCTCATAAAACAAGAAAGAGTATATTTGTCTGAAAAGATATTTTGTGAAATAAATTTTTGGTATAAATATATAACATTAACTGTATTTTGAATGACTATATTAAAGTATATAGTTTTAGGGAAAGGGGTTTATAGTCATATATTGTTTATCAATCTATCTATCAATCTATCTATCTATCTATCTATCTATCTATCTATCTATCTATATATATATATATATACGAGTGGTTTATTTCTTAATGTGATAGTAGTGACGATTTTATTTGTCTAATTATCTCTGAATCGATTGACTCCAGTGGTTGGTTGGTTAGCGCATAATCCGGTGTTCACTATAACTCAAAGTAATCAATTGTGTGGACGACTGCATACAYGGTATAAATAGTCACTTATCGCTAATATACTATATGTTATAATATAATATAGAGAATATTATATAATATACATAATATAAATTTATATAATACCAGTATATATTTCTATACTGTAGATATTTTATTAAATAGCAATAAGAAAATGCATTGAAATTAATGTATAGTCAATAGATAGTGAATCAAATGATTGAATGAATAATTGCTTTAATAGTGGACTACATTTACCGCTATTAAAGAAATATGATAATAAAATATTTACCAAAACAATAGCTTTAATATCATGTTTATTAAGAGGCAAACACCAGGCATACATATACATAATGTATAATATATTATATTATCGCTTATTATACTTTATATGATATGATGTGTCATATTGTGTGCCCAACAAGTCTTGGCAATGTATTTGTTGTCAATACAGTGCTTGTAATCATTATATTAGCGCTCATATCATATCAATATATATATACAGTATATATATGACTCCATTTATTTGAATATCTTTTTTTGTTATAGATTATTTGTTATCAAATATATTATTATATTATATTCACAAGAATATTGCTATAATATGTACAACGGTGTACACAAATTAAACAAATATGACCAGAAAATATACTACACAATTAAATGTGTKGTGTGGTGCGTGAGCACCGGTATAATATTTGATCAGTCATGTAATAGACAATCAGTTTCCCTACGAATCGTATAATATATATTCAATTCTTTGTGTGCCATACTATGACAATACAACTTATGTTTCAATTCTGACATTACATTCAAATTATATTATCTATCTATCCATCCATTTCTATATCTAAAGATTAGCCAAAATAACTCTTATAATATATATATATTATCTTTTTATTTATTCTAATGCTCTCTTTTTCAGTTTCTCTCTCTCTCTCTCTCTCTCTCTCTCACATACACATACACATACACATACACATACACATACACATACACATACACATACACATACACATACACATACACATACACATACACATACACATACACATACACATACACATACACATACACATACACATACACATACACATACACATACACATACACATACACATACACATACACATACACATACACATACACATACACATACACATACACATACACATACACATACACATACACATACACATACACATACACATACACATACACATACACATACACATACACATACACATACACATACACATCACTCACTACACATCACACATCACATACTCACTCACTCACTCACTCACTCACTCACTCACTCACTCACTCACTCACTCACTCACTCACTCACTCACTCACTCACTCACTCACACTTAGTCTTAATATTCTGTATGACTCTCTGAGTTCAGAATTTTGTGTATTGTATATCACATGTTATGCGATTGCGATTCTGTAATATAAAAATACTAAAGCATTGTATGTACTGTATGTGTGCAACAAACAAGTTATGGCTTAGCAGAGGAGCACTGGTTAGTGATGTCACAGATGGGTATACCTTGAATGGTTAATATGGAATCTTCCAGTGCTGGTGAGCACATCCATACAATTTATACCAGAGGTGACTCTGCTTTTGCTTTCATTGCAAGTATGAACAGAGTTAGAGATTGATCGCACAGTTAGTTTGATTTGAAAAAAGTTTATATTCTTATCACTTTCTAAAACAATTGTTTGTCATATCTTTACAAACTTTTCTCACATTTCTCACTCTCAGTAAATTTAAATTTATTTTGAAAAGAGATACACAAATATATCAATTATATGAGACATCTTTTATCATGAGTTTGTTTTCAAGTGACAAATATAAATGAAGTTATTTTTAAGTATCATTTTTCTCTCTTTTTTCTCAATTTTATAGAGAACTTCTTGTTTTATGGCTTAATCCAGAAGCGGAAGAATGATTACAAAAGTTGCTGAAGAAGTTATGACTATTGTTTCCAAAAAAGCTTTTTAAATCCTGAATAACGGTTTTATCGTTGATTTAATGGACACCGATTATCCTTTGGCGACAACTCTAACATAAAAAACTACAACAACAGCACCACATCTTATAAAAGACATGATTGTCATTAAAAGCTATCTTTAAGATACTATTCAATGTTATCCAATGGCATCCATTGATAACACATTTGGATTCATTAGCTTTTATTAGAGCGACAAATAAGACGATGCAATGACAACGCGTTAAAAGTAAGTTTTTTTCTCAATTTCTTTATTTACTAATATTTTAGTGAAAATGTTTACAGAAGAGTATAAAAAACTATATTATAATAAAGAGTGTTTGAATCATCTTTTCTTATGATGACAACTGAGCCATATTTTGCTTATATTGTATACATAAAAGTAAACACATTTATGATACATGACTAGTGATTGTATGTAATGTTTATAAACTTATATCGAAAGTGCTATTTTCCTTATCACTTAACAATATGTTAGAGATTCAAAAATATGCAAACTTTTTGTCATTTTTATGAAAGCTATCGATTTATTTGATTATTCATTTGATTTGATGCTATAGTTAAGATGTATCGCAAAATAAAGTTTTCATATTTTCAATATTTATTAATTCAATTTCATTAATACATATATAAYAATATAGATATACTAACATTAAAATTAATTTTATTTTAATGTTTACTAAGTTTATATTAATACATTTAATTTATTAATAATACAGGAAACGTTTGATGGCTAAACTAATTTCAGAGATCAAAAGCTAACCAGATGTCCGACAGAAATTGACAATAAATTATACGTTTTGTATGATAAAGATAATCAACTAAAACAATAGCTCATAGTTTTGACTGATTGTAAGCGACTTTAATATTAACGATATTATAAAGAATGAGGCATTTGATGAAAAACATTCACAAAAATAAAATTAAAGGTAATATATTTTAATTAATTAAATATTTATAATTGTGCTTAAGCTTGCAAATTAATACAAATAAACTATTAAATTTAAAAGATTTTAATATATATATAAGATATTAAATAAGTAAAGTAAACAAACAAATATAAAAATTAAAATTAATTTATAGGTTTTAATTGAATATAAAAATAGTATATTGGTTTTAATATTATCGTTAAATTTTATGACATTTTAAAATTATTAATAAATATGAATTGATTTATTGAATTTAAATTAATTGAAACGCAAACATTAGACATTAGACTAATACTATAGAATTACATTTTATTAATCTATTGAGTATTTATTGAATATAATTAGCTTATAAACAATAACAGATAATTTAGAATTATTTTTTCATTTTTATTATTTATTAAAATAAAGTAAAACAGTGTTTATGCAAAATTAAATGATTACTGTTATAATTATAATTATATATTGAATACAAAGTATTATTATTTATTTTAATAATTGTATTTTTATCTTTTTCATATTATTTTGATTAATAACTGCAATATTTAGTTTATTTATAATGTTTTTACTTTAAGTCAATTAACTTAATATAAAAATATTTTTCCTAAATCAGAATAAAGTATATAAAAATTATATTAAATTTTAGTAACATTACATCTTTTATATGAAAAATAATATTTTTAAAAATTATTTTTGACATATATTTAATAAATAATATTTATTAATAATTATTAAAATTAATTAAAGCTTTATATCAATTTTTATTTAAAAAATATATTAACATTTTATACTTAAATTTTTGTTTTTTAATTTATTATAAATTAGTAAATATATAAAAACTGATTAATTTCGATATTGATATAAATTTATTGTAAATTGTCTAGGAAAATTAGTGTTGTAAAGCTCTGTGTAATATTATTTTCATCAAAATTTATAGGAAACAATAAATTTTATTATACAAAGACCATAGAAATAGTTTGCCAACAAAATATTTGTATTATTATACATAAATAGTGTCAGCTTTTATAATGCTTTCATTTTATATAACTTTTATAATAAATTATTCAAACAAACAAAATGATCATAACATTACATTTTATATACAATTCTTTTAAATATATTTATTATAAATTCAAATACTATACTATAAAAATAATTTTGATTTATTTTAACATCTAACAGAAAATAAAAATCTTAAAATTTCTATACGTATATTAACAATATAGACAGTTATAATTTTTAGGAGTGACTAAACCTTAACTAATATTGTAATAAATTTCATGCGTTACAAACTATAAATCAAACTTAAGGGTCAATTTGAGGTTCATCTCTAAAATAACGACCTCTTTAGCCATTCCCACGCAATCTATATTTTGAAAATAATTTTTAACTTTATTATAGTTTTACTTATTTCAAAATTTATTTTGACCATATATCCTGTTAGTTATTAAAACAATGTGCATTATTTATAAATTTTATAAAAACCAAAAATTTATTTACAGTTTTTTTTATTGTAAACACAGTATTATATGTTAAATATAAATAGTATAATTACAAATAATAAATAAATATATATTAGATAAATTATATATTTTTAATAAAATAAAAATAAAGATTACTACAGTAATATTAATATAATATAATCTATAATATTTAGTTAAAATTACTTCATGTATTTATTATATTTTTATAATTATTATTTCATTAATAATCAATATTGTATCATTTTCTTAATAATTTTTGTTTATGTTAAATTATAATAAATTGTTAATTTAATAATGGGCTAGGTTAAATTAATTCTATATTATTAGCAATTATGAAATACATTTTCAAATTAATAAATATATTTGTATATATATATTATCTCGAAATGGTTTTGCATAAATTAAATGATCGAAAAAACAAAAAATTAATGTAATTTTTTAAAACATAAAATAATAGTAATGTATACTATTATATGTGTGTTCAGTGTTAGATACAAACAGATTAATGATAATGACTTTTTTCATAAATATTATTTATGACTGCAATACTCTTATATTAATTTGTGTGCATGTGTTGTATGTATGGAAAGTCTGTAAGAAAAATTCAAGCAATTAATATTACTTTAACATTGGTGTTACACATATACTGTATTGTATTGTGAGGATTCATATATTTTTAAAATATAAAAAACAATTTTTTCCGAGTTTACAATTTTGATTAAAAGCCATATTTAAGTTTTAAAGTATACAATACTAACGGTTTATACACTCATCTGTACTATAGACACAATAAGATGTTTTTTGCATTAGACATCTGCATCACTAATAGAAATACTGAAAATATTTTTGCATTTTAAGTTAATTAAAGAATAAGTTTTATTTTTATTTTATTTTATTTTATTTTATTTTATTTTATCTATTTATTTATCTATCTATCTAATTGTATGCTTCATAAATATAAATTTATATATTAAATATAATATATACTGTGTATAAAAAATATATAAAAGTAATGGCGATATTTTCGGTGCATTACTTCTTAACAATGAAATATTGAGAGTTTTTTTGAAAGCACAGAATTTAGTGTCAATGAATGACAACATATAAACTGTAGACTCATATAAACTTTAGTACAAAACACAACTTAATCGGTGACTAAACTATAAAAATGATGTCTTGTATTGTATATACAGTATTGTTGCGTATGTGTAATGAATACCACTATTTACTAACAAARCACATCAATGATTGTGAAACATATCGTTGACTTTTTATGTGAGTCTTAATCTCATTTTTTTCTTTATATGATTGCTGTATAATATACAGTGTATATCTCACTATAAGTATATTTCATTTACAACTGAGACTAAATGCTAAATAAAATTAAACTAATTTTTGATTTTTAATATAAGAACCAAATAACATATGAAAAAATATTTTGTTCTTTATATGTAATCCATAGATGAATCATGAAATTATAAAAATAATAGATTATTCGCTTATCAAATAAATATAATATAAACTGAGAGATGGTATCTACAGTACTATTGTGTATTTGCTGGACCTCACTGTTGATGTAAATAATTTACTTATTAGTTGTTTATCTTATTTCCCAAATTCCCAAATATTGGTATATTATAGCCGACCCTATAATACAGATATAAGATAAAGTCTATCTGTGCGGTTAAACAACCACTGCATAACTTAATGAGTTGCCTCTCTCACTCACTCTCTCTCTCTCTCTCTCTCTCTCTCTCTCTCTCTCTCTCTCTCTCTCTCTCTCTCTCTTCGACTACCGGTGCATTACTAACAATACAAGTCTAAACAATTTTTTACAAAATAGATACTAATTACCCTCTAAACTATTTAAATGCGAGCCTCCCTTTCTATAATAACAAATAGTTTCAATTACAAGTCACGAGTAGTACTGATGGATTGTATACGCAAATGGCTTTACAACACAATTCAATTGATTCGTGTTTTTGAAAGCAATTTATAGTAACACTTGAATTATGTGTTTTTTATATACACTTTCTTTACTATAGTTAAAAGTAAATGTAAGGCAAAGCTTCAAAAATACATTTCTTGTGATAAATTTGGTTAATAATGTACTTTACACTCGTTTGCCATCACATTAACAAACCATTCATTGGACATAAAAAAATGGAGTTTTAAAAAATGCAAAAATCAATAAATACAGTAAATATATTTTGAGAGACTCTCACAATCTATTATAATACTAAAGCATTAATACAAGCATTGGGTTATGATTTGATGCAAACACATACACACATATATAACAAACATTACTTAGACAACCACTTCCTAATGGAAGGAAATTTTAAAAAATACGGAATATACAGAAAATGTATTTCTAATAATAATAATAATAATAATAATAATAATAATAATAATAATAATAATAATAATAATAATAATAATAATAATAATAGATAAAAATTAAATATTTTTAACAATAAATTAATTATAGTAAATATTTAGCATAATATGATATAAAGATCAATTAAAATTTACTATTTAATTACTGTACTAATCTTTTTTGCTTATTTTGATATGAGATATAGCAATAAGTATATGAAAATAGAGAATAAAAAAGCAAAATAGTAAATGGTTTACCCATAGAGACCGTGTCTATCATTGTTTTATTTGTTTATTTTATTGATTAGTTCAACAAATTCTTATATATCTTTGTGTTCACAGAATCTAATGTTCACTTAAAAGGTTTGATATCTTATACGTGCCATTCCTGGTAACTATTAAATGCTAGCAAAACATTATCCAATTATTACATAACAAGAGTATTAAATTTTTGCTCTCTATCTAAAAGGCAAACATAAAACCTTAATATATCATATATTATAGTTCACTAATTTTACTTAAATAATAAATATATTGTACTTAAATATTGGACATTTTTTATATAGTTTGTTTAGAAAATAAATGACAAAACTAAAATATTATTTAATTTATTATCACATTAAAAATAGATAGAAAAAATGTTTTGCATAAATACTCTGAAAAAATGATTAGAAATAGTCATTGCTAACTAAAAATACATTGTAAAATACATAAATAATTAGTGTTATATAAATTTATGATCTATCTATAAATATAAAAACCACAATCTTTGATTATAATACAACTCTATGGTTATATTAATATACTTATATAATAATATTTAATATTTTAATATATTCACAACATTTATTTACAATACTGCAAAAATGATTTACAAAAATATTTTATTTTTATTTGTTTGACAATCTTTTATTCTAATGTTCATTATATATATCTGTATAATGTAAATAAAATCTTTTTATAAATATTTTATAATGATAAAATTATATTTTTATTACAAAAATAATATATAATATAATATATATTAATATTATATAAATCATAATAATTATAGATAATTTATAAGATTCATAATAAAATAACAATAAAACAATAATATAAAGTAATTTGTTTGAACTAAAGATTCACCAAATAGTAATAAATAGTGTTGACATTCATTTGAGTTGTTAACTGATGAAGAAGTCTCTCTCTCTCTCTCTCTCTCTTTCTTTCTTTCTCTTTTAATATACCATAGTATAGTATATATATACTGTATATTCAAACATAATATCACATTTCAAAAGTTTTTATATATAACTTATATTTTAATTTATTTTATTTCAATTTATTCTTTTTTATCATTCATTCAATGCTTTTCTCTGTATTTCTCTATTTCTATATAACTCTTATATAACTCTCATTTGTTTGTTGAGTCAAACATTTGGCTGCAATTCATATGATTGTTGTTTTTATGTAATAAATAGTTTGTTGGTTCCGATTCTGTACTGTATTGCAGAGCACACACCCATTCATAGCAAAGCCATAATCAATACACTCATCAATGCCTGCATTGCTTACAATCAGCGCCCTCTCCATAATCACCATTTGTATGACAATGTGGTTGTAATACAGTATTAATAAACCGCTAGAAATAGCGTTATTATGATATTATTGAATATTTTTAAAAATTCCAAACTTATAACTGTTTAAAGTAAAGTAAATCTCAATAAAACATACAATCTTTCACTCATTTAATTGCATTCTTGCAAAAAATAGTTAATTTTGCATTTTTTTTATTTTAAATAAAAATAAGATTAAATATTTCTTAAAATGTAAATATATACAACTTTTACTATATGTAGTACACATTATGTAGACACTCAAATATGTACAAATAATCATTAATTTCATTAATTAACTCTAACTTTGAAATTTACAACAAAATATTTTATTCAATTAAAATTTTATATATGATATTTAGAAATTTATATTAATATTTTATTTAGTAATGTTTTTTAAATAAAATAAGATAACATAAAAACTTGATATAATTATTAGTTATTATTTTTTTAAAAAATGATTTTAAGAATAATAAATTAATAATTATTTGTATGTAATCAAAGATTGTGATACAAATTTTTAAATATTCATCAATTTTTTCAAATTTATTTAATTATTACAGAGATATTTCAATACATACGTTAATTTAAAGTTTAAAATATGGTTTATTAAAACTTCTTTTTACTGTTTATTTTAACTAAATTGTTGTTTTTAAATTKTTTAAAAAAAACATTGAATAATAGTTATATAAATTATTATCTTAAAGACAAAATAATACTTAAAATGAATTTTAATTAATATGACATGTAGTTTACAAATGATAATTTTGTGAGAAAAATTACATAAAAATAAAATAAATTAATTTTTTACTTAAGATGTGGTTATTTATTGTTTAACACAATTGAGGGGTTAGATGAAGAGTTGCATCAAAATAACTAATGAGACATATGTTAGATATGTTAGTATACCTGAGTCCCAGATAAGCCCATAATTAACATTTTTGGCAAACTATCCCTCCCTATGCTTTCTCCCTATTTGTTAAGTTGGGATAAAATGAGATTTCATTTATTTTGGCACATATTCTACTTGAACTCTCTCTCTCTCTCTCTCTCTCTCTCTCTCTCTCTCTCTCTCTCTCTCTCTCTCTCTCTCTCTCTCTCTCTCTCTCTCTCTCTCTCTCTCTCTCTCTCTCTCTCTCTCTCTCTCTCTCTCTCTCTCTCTCTCTCTCTCTCTCTCTCTCTCTCTCTCTCTCTCATTCACTCACTTACTCTGATTTTCTGTCTTTTTCATTCATTCATTCACTTATTGCTCATGTATTTTAAGAAAGACTCTCAACAGCACTCAAATATGTGTAAAGCTCTAATGTATAACCATTTTGTATTTGTTTTCTTAAACCCTATTTACTAGTTTGCTTTTAATGTTTACACACACACACACACACACACACACACACACACACACACACACACACACACACACACACACACACACACACACACACACACACACACACACACACCTTTTATTTAGTATACCCTGAACGTAATATACAGTTGACTGTGAATTATATCACTTTTATATAATTGTTGCCTCAAATCTCATTCAATTTTATCACTAAATCCGCGACTTTACAGTAAAACATAAGTACTTAAAATAAAACTAAAGTGTTTATAATATTATTTGAAATTATACTGCATATCGTTAATAAAGACAATTTTAAATATTAAATATTACAAGATATGTGTGAAAGCGTTTTGAAGCACTTTAAAAATTTAATGTATAGCTTATACTGTCATATAAACTATTTATAGCAATGTATGTTATTTTTGCGCCACTATTGCACACCAGCACTGCATTAATCGCCCGTTTGCTCCCCAAACGGCTCAAACCATACCAGTGTTTGCACTGTTTGTCAGTTTTTGAATGCCTTTAACAGTGATGTAGTACTACATGAGTCACCTAAATGTGTTAAAACGCATAATTTATTATAAAATTTAACTAACTTTTTATTATTACTTTCTCCATATCTTATAGACATATATCACAAAACCAAATGAGACACTACTGGGACCTTAAACCTCGTAATAATTTATAAAATGGTTTTAATTGCATATAAATTGTCTACAAATAAAGTTAACAACACCGAGAGGGGGATTGACATCACATATACACAGGTTTGTGTCACCAGTTTTATCAATTTTCAAATATATTACACACACTAAACAAGTTATATGTACTGTAAAAATAAGATTTTTATATATATAATCTACAGTACATACAGCACAATTTTATATATTGTATATATATTTGACAGATTTTTGCTAAAATTTTTGTTATTTTATTTATATGTATATAAAATATAGTAAATTCAAATATATTACATCTACATGAGTGTTACATTCATTTCTAAAGTAAAAATGTTTTAAAATAAAGATATTTTTTCAATATTGATATTATGACAGAAAATTTTCAAATAAAAAATCCACATTTTTTGTTTAGCAATGCAAAAGATTCGCTTAATATTTAACATAATATGAGATTTTTGTATATATATTTCAATGTGCATTTATTGGTCGATAATATGCCCTCTGCATAACACTACCACTTTTTTATATTATTGTACACACAAACACATACAGTACACACACACACACACACACACACACATACGTACAATATTTTTTTAAGGTTAAATGCAAAAAAGAAATAAATTTGTGTGAGAGTTACAGATATTTAATACGTGAAGTTTTGGTCTATTGAATACCAAGTAGACATAGATGTCATAAATACTGTATTTGTTTTGTACTAATTTTAAAAAATAATTTTTTAAAGAATAAATTCATCGATCAGATATTAATAATATTTTTTAAATATAAAAATATTATATTTCACTATTAACTATTTGATAGCTTTACTATATTTATATCATAATGTTTATAAATTATATAACTCTATAATTATTTTTAAATTTAAGTTATTTATTATCGCTATTAATTTAAAAATACAAAATATAAAATAAAGGATTTATTAATACATTTGACGCCATATATATTTGTATTAGCTTTGGTTCATATTATACAACACGTAAGGCATGTCTATATATTTTATCTTTGAATAGATTTATAAAAACTATTATATTATATAAGATTTGATTAAATTAGGACAAAATAAGCTTAGATTGGCCTACGATTTGTATTCAATGAAAGAATGTTTTGTAAAGATGTCGAGAAAATTAGTTTTGACACGACTTTTGCACAAATTAAGAGATAATAACTAAATTCCCAAAAGATTTTTAATAATATAATACAAATAAAACTCAGTGAAAAAATTATTATATAATGCGGTTTTATTGATATACTATTGATTTAATTCATTTATTATAATAGTTTGAAATAGTTTTCATTATATGAGAATTTATATTAGATAATATAGTATTTATAGATACAATTTTTAATAATTTAATTTATATATATATATATATATATATATATATATACAGTATATTTTAAACAAATATTAATTTATAATATGTTGTTAACTTTCAAATACAAATACTTATTATTATATAGCAGTATTTGTTAACATTATGCATAGATTTTGTGACATAAATTAATATCACGATATGTTTCATGTTTTGATCATTTTTTAAAAGTAAATCARTCAATACTTTTTTGTATGTCTTTTAATAAACATATCTTTAGTGCAAATCATAAATTATTTTTTCTTTTATTCAATCACTCTCTTTCACACACACACACACACACACACACACACACACACATATATATATATATATATATATATATATATACACGCAAGCACGCACACATACAAATATTCATACTACCGCTAATTAAACTAATTTTGTAAATTTATTTTTGAAAAAATATATTAAATAATATTAATATATTTAAAAAATATTTAAATAATTTTGACTCTTTGTAAAAATAGTATAGATTACAAAAACCAAATTTGATGTCCAGCAAGACTTGAATATTTAAAATTAAGTTTATTTGATAAATGTTATCAATTTTAGTATTAAATTTCAAAATTAGTTAAATAGAAATATGAGTTCAGCTTCACTGCAAATACAATAAACACGACTAAAAAGTGTGTTTTCAATTGTTCACAATTTTGTTGACACAAACACAATATAAACAAATATTGTATATACACTGTATTAATACAGTACTATATATATAGTATAAATTATAATTTATATATTGTATATAATTTTTTCTTCAAAAGATATAATATAAAGTATAATAMTTATWTTGTATTGTATATTATTATCATTTATTATATTTAAAAAAAAATGGGAAAATATTATATTATTATTAAGATATWTATATACAGTAGTGTATATAGATAAACATAAAGGCATGTAATCAACAATAGTTTTTTAAGAGCAGTATTTATGTTAAAGATATTGCAAAATGAAATTAATATATATATATTATTTAATTGAAATACAGTATTATTACATTTATGTTATAAGTGCAAATAATATTATTAAATCAATTGATTGATTAAATAAATAAAAATTTATATTCAAACATTAAACTACAAGAATACTAATGTTTTAAAATTATATTATTGTAGACAAGATTTTTCAATTAAGTTCCAAATAAAATAAATAATTTTTTTAAACATTAAATTTAAGAGTAAATATAAAAACATGAATAAAATTCATGAAAATATAAGTAAAAATTGTAGTATTAACACAATTTTGCTATTTTAGTTTAAGTAAAAATTTTTGTATTGTTATATCTCTAATGCTGTATTTTATTATAAATATTACATTCTATACAACTTATAGTACAAGATATTAATATTGAATGTCAATGCCTTCATTATATGCTTTTTTAAATATACATAAATAAATTATTAATTTTGAAGAGATAGAGAGAGAGAGAGAGAGAGAGAGAGAGAGAGATTTTAATTATTTAGAGAGTTAGTGGTTAAGTTTTATTTGAAAATTGAAGCAATAGGTTACTGTGTAACTAATAGTAACTATCGGTAATGTTATGGAAAACAGGCCATAACTGGCATAACATCAATACCGATGAAACCAGAGTTTGCGTGATTTCAGGTTTTCATATATTATATACACAACACTATTCTATTTGCAAAATATATTCAAATTCTCTAATATATAGCCTCTCTCTCTCTCTCTCTCTCTCTCTCTCTCTCTCTCTCTCTCTCTCTCTCTCTCTCTCTCTCTCTATCTATCTATCTATCTATCTTTCTCTAATATTTATTAAGGTTCACTAGATTTACAGTTAGTAAATTGGTTTTATGCTAATAAAAGTTGAATGTTTTATCTCAGGCACGATATCTATGAGCACTGAGAGAGTGCTGTTTAATACAACAATAGTGTCGCCAATATTATTGTGTTTCAAAGGAAAGTAATTCAATGCCTAAAATGCAGTAATGAATAAATGCCAGTATTTTCTATGTCTTCTTTGGTTAGGCTGTACTGGCAATCAATTATTGTTTTTATTTACCAAATATACTGTAATGAGAGTTCATTTATTACCCAAACGATAAAAATGAAATTTATTTCCATTCAAATTATTTAAAATTATCTCTGAATATAACGTCTAACATACAGTTTTATGGCATATAATGAATATATGACTGAACTGTGAACTTTGACATTTGCTTTATCTTTCCGCACATTTAATTTAGTTGATATTGATTTTGAGTATATGATAACAGCATTTTCCTTACAGTGTTGACATAAATAACTACTGGTAATGAGTTATCAAATAAGACCAACCAAATTATAGTTATTATTTTTAATATCTTCATAAATATATACAGATTTACATTATATATATATATTTATTTTAATAATTTTTGAAATATTTTTAACTTAGAATTATTAAAAATTTATAACACATAATATGATGAAAATTTAATGTATGATAATATTTCATAACTTTAATAGTTATTTATTATCTTTGTTATCATTCTAAACACTTGTTATATAAAATTTTATTTTTTAGAAATACTAAAAATAACTAAAATTATAATTATATTAGCATAATAATAATTTTTATTATAGTTTAAATATTTGATATTTTATTAATATTATTTATTTAATAACAATTTTAGATTATTTTCGTATTATTAAATTTATTTAATTAATTATAAAAATTTTAATGGTCTTTGATTAAGTTTAAATGTTTTATGCAAAAATAAGGCATAACATCATATCAGTAAAAATACTGTAAATAAATGAATAAAAGCGTAATTTTAGTATTTATTTAACATTTATAGTTTTTGATAGTAAATCATAAATTTATAGTTTTTAATATAAAAATTAAAGTAATTAATTCTTTATTTGCATAAAATTAAGTAATTATAAAATTTCTTTAATTAAAAAATATTAACGCATAACAAAACCTTAAATTAAAATATTTTTAATGTCATTTATATTGCTATTTAAAAAAACAACAAAATGTTTCATCTAAATATAAAAGAGACATTTAAGATAACAAAATAATTTTTATTTAATATTTTTAAAAATAAATGTAATTTAGTGTCTTATCAAATTCAAAGATATATATATATATATATATATAGAGAGAAGAAACTTATGTTTTTAGAATTAAAATATATATCATTTATAAAAAACATATTGTTATAAAATGTGTTTATTAAATATAATGTATTTATTTAAAAATCTTTTTGCTAATTTTTAAAATTAATATTTCAAAAATGTTTGTTTAAATATTTATATGTATAATAGTTAACGTTTACAACAATTTTTTTAATATTATTATAATTATTTAATAAATATTTGTAATATTATTTCAATAGTGTGTGTGTTATTTAATATATTCCTTATTTCAACTATAACTTCTTCTATCATTTTCTTTAATAATAATATAAATTTTTATTAAAAATTCTAATAAAATTTTTATTATTTAAATTGTCTATAAATTTAATGTGTCTTAAGTACTGTATTATCATTAATATACTGAAATATAAACAATTTACATTCTTTTGAAAATTAAAATATTTTATTTTATTAAATTATTTTTTAGATATAAAATTATTTATTATAATAGTCATAAATACGTATAAATACTTTTCTGATAATTGTATTTTTGAACTAAAATATTTTTAGAAATATTGAGAAAAATTTAATTATTAATATAATTTA